AAGCCCAGGAAAGCACACAGTAAGTATCTCTTTGTATCTTAAACTTCTTTGCAAACAAGGTGCTTCTATGCTCTAGTCTGGCAAAATCTCAGTAGTCGCAGGTGTGCATCCAGCTCCAGGCAAAATGTCTGAGCCCAGATGATGAACTTGGTTCTGCTCCTGCAGAATTCATGAGGCCTCTTGCTGTTAACATGGACTCCAGAGAAAAGAGGTTTCAAAATGGTCAGCACGAAATGAGCAGCCAAATCCTGAGTGACCAGGTCTTAGAAATAATGAACTTAATGACTGCCAAGCTGGCAAGTTCACGTTTCTTCTCCCTCCACTGTGTGAAGGAGGATTCTAAGATTTGGGAGTAGACGGCTCAAAAGGGCTTGTGTACCTAGAAGGTCAAGCTCCCAAAATGTAAAGTTCTCAGACTCTGTAAGTGTTTAGAAGCAGATATAGATTCCTGAATCACTATAGGACTTTTGGTAATGTTCAGCCTTGATTCAGTAAAGTAAGTGACAAGTTTAGGAGCTGTTTAAATCCATTCCATGTTTAAACTCACCCTCTCGGAGGCAGGGAGTGAATACCTCTGGCTTTCTCCCTTCCCTGCTGAGTGGGAGACGTGCACTTGCATCCCCCTGGGGTTGATAGCGGCTGATTCGATGTTTACACGTGTTGCCGAATTGACGATAGAAAAATCACGGCAAAACTTCTGTGCGATAAAATAACCGTAGCCTGTCCTGCCCCTGCTAGAACAAGCAAATAAATAGAAGCTTGCATTAAATCCCTCACAAGTTGGGGTGGGTGCTGCACGGAGCCCCCCCCTCCGCAGCTCCTACCGGTCCGGGGTGTGTGGGGGGGACTCTCCCTTTGCAGGGAATTTTAGTGGTTCTGCCCCTAACCCCGCTGCCTGCTTGGATTTTGGGGAGGGGAGAGCCCGAGCCGCCTCCTCCCGGAGCTCACGGCACCGGGTCCCCGCAGCCGCCGGTGGGAGCCCCCCCCTCCTTGGCCGCCAGGTGGCGCCGTGACCCCGCGGCGCGGCGCCCCCGGTCCCGTTCCCCCCCCTCCCGTGTAGGATTTGGGGGCAGCGGGGGCTGCACAGCTCTTCTCGCCGCCCCCCCATATCCCGGGGTGGGTTGTGGGGGGCAGCGGGAGGGGATGAGCTCTTGGGGGCTCCCCGTGTCCTCCCCCCCCGCCCCCGTCCTGTCCCATCCTTCTGGTTGTGGTGAGGAACCCCTCCAAAAAAGGGTCTGCTCTGAAAGGGTCTTGCTGAGGTCTGGCAACACCCTGGGGTCCCGCATCCCCACCCTGAAGTGCCCTCCCCAGCAAATGCTTCCCTGTGTGCCCAGCTGATTCCCACCCGTATGGGTTAATGGGCCTGGAGGGGGGAAAGCCCCGGTGCCCCCATCACAGCCAGGGACACTCTGGGATGTCCCCAGTCCCCAAGGGGCAAGGGGGCTGCAGGAGGAAGCTCCTGGATGCAGCATTTCCATCCACGTCTCCTGCTCCTGCTTCACAGCACCCAGGGTCAAGGTGGGCTCTTAGCACCCTTCTGTCCAGTCCCGGAGACACCCAAGATCCTGCCTCCCCCTCATAGGGCGAGCAGAGCATCACATCCCAGTCCTCAGTCCCCTGAACCTTTTTCTTTTCTTCTCCTCAGGAGCAAGGCAGTCAGGAGGAGTAAAAGGCCCCGGGTAGCTGAACGGTGCCCTCACCTGCTGGGGGCAGGCACCGGGTTCGCCTGGGGCTGCAAAGGTCACAACAGGACCGTGGCTGGAGGAAAAACACTCAGGCAGAGCATCTCTGCTGGGAGGGTGCAAGTGAACGGTTCCCGAGCCCCTTTCTCCTCCACGGCGGCAGAAAGTGTGGGTAAGTGCTCAGCCCCCAATTCTCTGCTTCCCTCAGTCCCGCCCTGAAGCCAGAGGCTGCTTCTCCCTTATCCCCCTGTCAGCCCGGATCCGTGCCCACCTCCCTTCTCCTGCCAAGGGCAGGAAGGTGCATGGTCCCTTAGGGGTGCCCCGTTGGGCTGTGAGGGCAGCTGGAGGGAGCTGAAGGCTTTTCTGTCAGCAGTTCCCATTTCCAACCCTTTCTTCCCTCCTCAGGGCCTACCTGGGGAGTTGGGGCAGTGGGAGCAGGGGGGGACACACACCCTGGGTATGCTCAAGGGGCCTTGGGCCCTCTTGGGAATGGGGTCAGGGATGGGGAGAGGCCTCTCCCCATACAGGAGCCTCCTGTGCTCCAGGACCTCCATCTCCAGCCTCACAGGGCTCGTGTGTGTCCTCTGGCGCGCAGCCTCCTTCCACGGCCTCCTCCTTCAAAGGCCTCCCTGTTATCTGCCACAACTGGGGGCACCGCGACCAGCTCCCCTCCCGGCCCTGTTTTTAAGCCCCTCATGCTGTTGCTGTGAGGTTGTATCCTTGTGGGTTTGTGTTGTGGGGATGAAGCCCACAGCTCGACTGGGTTGGTCTTGTTTTGGGAGCAAAGCCTTTGCCCACCCTGGGAGCAAATGGCAGCCTGAGAATCTGCGTGGGTTTTATTCCGTGCTGTGCTATGAGAGCGCTCAGTGGGGGCTGCAGGAAGCCTCGACGTGCTATGACAGGGTTTCCTGATGGACACTGAGGTTTGAGGTCCCAACCAGCCACACCAGGACCCCCCCATGGCACGTGGCTGCCTCTTCCCACTTGGTTTGCCACATGAAGGGAAGGACAAGTCCAGCTTCCCACCTGAGCCTGGCATGAGGTGGGCTTAGTCCGGACACTGCGGGGAAAGTGAGAGCTGAATGCAGCTGGGAATCCTTTAAAATAAAAGCCCTGGTACATGGTGCACAGTGGTTGGCCTCTGTGGGGTGGATGGAGAACAGAAGTCTCACCGCCTGCCACCAGCCCCCCCGCACTTTTTTTTTTTCCTTTCCCAAAGTCCCGACTTTCTCACCCTCTCCTCGTTTCAGCTCTGCTTTTCTTTCACACTCCCCCTGTGGGGGTCGAGCTGGTGTTTAACCCTTTCATCCTTGCAGCAATTAGTTAGGGGTTTTGAGACCGCCTGTGAGGCGTTTCCCTAGCCCAGTGCCCACACTTTGGGCACGGAGGCACATGCGAGGAAGAAAGTAACGGGGAGCTTGTCACTCCTGGTGTGGCCGTCTCTGCCCTGCAGAGGTGCCCTCAGCCTGCTGCTGGGCTGCTGCTCCCTGTGCAGCCAGGAGAAGGCACAGAACCGGTCCCCCAATCCCCAAAACAGATTTGGAGGGCAAAATCCGCCAACTGCTCGGTCTGTTGATTCAAATGCATCATTTCTCCCTCGGCAGATCCCTGCCCTGGGAAAGGAGCAATCAGTGCAGGTGCAAATAGCTTTTAATTGCAAAATGTATCTCACCACGGAGGCATTTAGGCTGGATATGATACAACGGATAGAGCAGCAGCCTGGAGAAGCCCAATAAGCCAGAGCACTGCAGGGGCCAAACTGCTCCTATGCAATACCTATGGCGTAAATACTCACGGCTGCCTGCCTGGCTGTGTTCTTCCAGCTATCCCTGGGCTGTGCCACAGTCGGATTATGTGAAAATTCAAATATCAGCTGCAGGGAATGTGAAAATTTGCTTTCTGTGGCAGTTCATGCATGAGAACGTGGCATATTTCGGATGTGAGTGTTTTGTGAGTGGACTCACCTACAGCAGAGGATCAGGCACATGTTTTAGTGTCAGTGCGGTGCTGGCACGGGCTGGGTGCCAGCTTTTGAACCAGAGCTCCCTGGGTGAGGTTTAGTGCCCCTTGCCCACCAGGTGATGTATAGAAAGCTGGAAGTGGGTCCTATAGAGATATCGGGGTGCCTATGAGGATGCATACCAGTGTCTATAGTGCCTTGTAGCCAGGCTGCCTGTTCTGCGGGGCAGCTCAGAGGCCCTTAGCTGTGCTGGGCACATCCTGGAGGGGGAGGGCAGCAGCAGTGGCAGCCCCTCCATTTCCCCCACAGCCCCCTTCTGCTCCCCAGCAGCATCACTCGCACCTTAGGGGGTCAAAGGGGGCAGCGGGCAAAGGCACAGCTCAGACCTAACCCGAACAGCTCACAAACTACCCACCCCGAAGCGGGGCTGGGGGGGGTCCCAGTCCCATCTCCTCCAGGTGACAGTGCCCTGGGGACACTTGCAGGGATTTTTACCTAAAGCACCGCACAGGGCCGTGCCGGGGGAGGCACCCTGCTCTCAGGCGGCACAGCGAGCTCCCTTCCACGGCGAGAGCCCGCGTGGGTGGCAGCCCCCCCCGCGGCAGCAGCCACCCGCCGGGGGAGCGGCTCCGGGGGGATCGTGCGGGGACCCCCTGCGAGGGGGTGCGGGCACTTGCGGCGCTCCGAGCGGCCAGCCCAGCGCGGGCAGGGCTGCCTTTTTTTATTATTATTGTTATGATGATGATTATGATTATTTTCTTGTTTCCCCTAGGAAAACGGACCAACCCCAAGCGCACTTTTCCCCCGGGCCGTCCCGGTGGGAGGCGGTGCGCTCCTATCGCGCCCTGCCCGGGGATGGGAATAGGGAGAGGGATGAGAGAGGGATGTGCGGGGGTGGGGGGGGGACAGTTTGCAGCTGGGGAAGGTGCCGGGACAGGGGACGGGGATGCCCCGGGGGGGCCGCTCCGTGCCTCGCTCGGGCACCGCCGGCTTTGGGCGGGGGGTCCCGGGGTGGGGGGTAATGGGGGGGGCTGTGTCCCTCCTGTATGTCCCCGACCCCCCCCCCCGGGTGTCCCAGCGCCGGTACCCGGGAGCGGGGGGGGGGGCCGGCCGGCAGCGCCGCCGCCTCCTGGCTGAACAAAGGCGCGATCGCGTCTCTGTTAATTACCCCCCCCGGGTGTATGGGGGGGGGCGCGGGGCAACTTTCCCCGGGGCCGTGCGGGCTGGGCGGGAGGGGCGGGGCTATGCTAATGAAGGGGGCGTGTCCTCGCCCCCACGGCTGCAGCGCGCGGGCGGCCATTGGCTGAAAGGGAAAAGAGGGCGGGGGAGAGGTGACGCGATGCAAATGAGGAGGGGGCGTGTCTCCCCCAGGCCCCGCCCCCCGGGCGCCGGGGCTGCGGGGCTCGTGTCGGGCGGCGGGGCCAGTCAAAGTGGCTCCCATAGGGAGAGGCGGCGGGTCCGGGCCGGCGCTGCGGGAGAGGGAGGGAGGGGGCGCGGGCAGCGGGAGCCCCAGGGTCTCCCTCCGTCCGTCCGTCCGTCCGTCCGTCCGTGCCGCCGCGGGTGCGCCCCTCTCGCTCCCTTCCCGGCGTGCGCCCGGCTCCGCCAAGTCGCTTCCTGCGCTGCTGAAGGAGGGAGGAGAGAGCGCTTCGGCTGGGAGAGAAGAGAAGAAAAGAGGGAGAAAAGAAAGAAAGAAAAGAGAGAGGGGGAAAGGAGAGGGAGAGAGAGGGGGGGGAAACTTGCCTCTCTTGTCACTGGAAAATGACACTTGATGTAGCAGAGCCTGCCGCAGCTCCCGTCCGTCCTATTGTTTCTTAAACTGCCAGCCGAGATTTTTTTTTTCTTTCTTTCTTTTTTTTTTTTTTTTTTCCTGCTGCCATCCGAGGGGTGTCTTCATACAAAAGGGACTTCAAGTACTCCTCCGGCTTGTGAGCGCTGCAGCCAACCCCCAGCACCCCGCAAGCCCCTCCAAGCACCCAAACAAACTGCACACGCAGCAAACAGCAGCAACAAAACCGGGCTCTGATTGCCTCTGGATTTTTTTTTTTTTTTTTAATGTGCGTGCCTGTGTTTGCTTTCTCTGACTTGCTTTGATTCCCGAGATCAGCTGCAGAGAGAGAAAGAGAGAGAGAAACAAAAACACACATAACAGTCCGCCTGGCGATTTCATCACTATATATATATATATATTTTTTTTTTCGAGTAAAGAAGGAAGATTTGCGCTCTTGTTTCTGATTCATGTTTGGGATTCAGGAAAGCATCCAGCGGAGTGGGAGCAGCATGAAGGAAGAGCCCCTCGGCGCGGGGATGAACGCGGTGCGGACGTGGATGCAGGGAGCCGGCGTCCTGGACGCCAGCACGGCCGCTCAGAGGTAGGCAGGCTCCGCGCCCGCGCCCCGCTCCGCACCCCGGGGCTCCTGCAGCGCCTGCTTCCCCCGGGCATCGCCTTTCCCCCCCCCCCAGCACCACCAAAAAGCCGGCTCCGGAGCTCTGCTGCCAGCAGGGAGTCGCGCGTAGATGCGGCCAGTTAAATATTTCTCCCTCTCGTCCCGTAGGAAGGACTTTTTTATTAAAAAAAAAAAAAAAATCAGCATCGTAACAATAAAGGAAGCGGCGAGTCCTGCTAGGTAGGGATAGATAGGTTTTAATCTCTCGAGCCTCTTGTGTTCGCGCGGAGGAAGGAGTTTTCAAAACTATGTTTGCTGCCGATTTAGTCTTAAGATCTCCAAATGACACTTTGCTCCTCCGATAAGCCCCGAGTTGTGCACGGATGTCTCCAAAATATATTTCTTTACTTGTCTTTCTTATCCTCGTCAGCATCAGCAGCTTCCCTCCTTCTCCCTCGATAAGCGGGGAGTTTTGCGAAGCTTTCTCGAGGAGAAATTAAATTCGAAGCCTCTTTGTAAAACCACTGCCACTTATCTTAGATTTCTAAAAAAGAAATCCTTTCAACCGGGAGGTGGATTTGGCAGAGCTGCACCCAGCCTCGCCTTCTCTCTCGTTTCTCCTTCTCCCCATCCTCTTCCCCGGGAAAAATAAAAACCGATGCCGGAATCGCAGCCTGAGCCCTGGAGCCGGCAGCAGCCCAGAAGTTTGGTGTTGACATCTCCCGGTGTCTCCCACCTCGCCCCGCACCCCTCCCTTTGGAGCCCTCTAAGGAAGGGAAAGTTGTGCAGGGACAACCCTGAAATATTTCAAGTTGTCTCCTCGGCTGCCCTCGCGGTGTTTACCCACCACTCCGGCGAGGGGAGGAAAGGCTCAGCAGGACTGAAACTGAAAGATAAGGCACATGGGCGCTCCGGTGACAGCTTCGAGCCGACTTTGAGAAGTGGCAGGAGCATGCCGCTCCGCGGGGCAACGCGCCGCAGGGGCTGAGCGCTCCCCGCCATGCAGGGCCGGCTGCGAGCCGCCACGGCCCCCGGGGAGGGTTGGTGGGTGCCGGCTGGGGGTGCCGGGGGGGATGCTCGGGGCTCCGGGCTGCCCGCAGGGCGGGATGGGGTCGGGGCCGTGCCGCGCTCCCGGCCCCGCGGGGCTCCGACGTGGCCGCTCTGGAGCACCGCTTTGCCCCGGCCCGGAGGGAAGAGCCCTGAGGGGGGGGTCAGGGAGGGATGCTCGGTCCCCGGGGAACCCATCGGGGTCCCGCAGGGTCCCTGCGGGGGAAGGCACTGGGCCGGGAGCGGGCCGGGGGGGCGTGAGGCCGCGCCGTCGGGGCTGCCGCTAACCCGGCTCTTTGTGGTCCCAGCGGAGTGGGTCTGGCCCGGGCTCACTTCGAGAAGCAGCCTCCTTCCAACCTGAGGAAATCCAACTTTTTCCACTTCGTCCTGGCTCTGTACGACCGGCAGGGGCAGCCCGTGGAGATCGAGCGCACCGCCTTCGTGGGCTTCGTGGAGAAGGAGAAGGTGAGTAACCCGGGGCCCCGCGGGGACCCGGACACCTTTCCCGGGCCCTCCCCGCTCTGTTCCCCCGGGGCCTCGGCACCGGCTCGTCCCGGGAGCCTCCGCCGCCTCCCGGCCGCCTCGATCTCCCCTCGGCCCAGAGAGCAGCTGGGGGGGTCTCCCTTATCCCCCCGTATGCCCGGGGCAGGGGAAGTTGTCGAGAGCTGCCTCTTCCAGCCCCGGGGCCGCCCGGCACCCAAGCGCTGGAGAAGCTTCCTGCGATGTATTTATCATTTCTCTCCCCCCCTTTCCCCATCTCCCTTGTCTTCTTCGAATTCAGGAAGCCAACAGCGAAAAGACCAACAACGGGATCCACTACCGCCTGCAGCTGCTCTACAGCAACGGTAAGGGCTGGGAGCCCCCGGGGGCAGCCCCGACACCGCCACCTCGGGGAACCCGGGCTGCAAAACCCGACGGGGACCCGGGGAGCCGCCGTCCCGGCCCCCTCCGCTCCGCGCATCCCCGCTCTCGGTGCCCGGCTGGGGCGGGGGGCTCCGGCCGGGACCCCCGACGGCTCCGAGCCCTCGGGCGAGCCCAAGCGTGGTCCCACCACCGCCGGCCGGCCCCGCTCCTCACTCCTCTGCCTTGTTTCAGGGATCAGGACGGAGCAGGATTTCTACGTTCGCCTCATCGACTCCATGACCAAGCAGGTGGGTGCTGCGGGGGCGGCCGGCGGGGCTCGGCGGGGCGGCCCGAGGAGGCGAAAAACCCTCCCCCGGTGCTGAGCGGTGCGGAACGGTTCCCCCTTGGGTTGTAAAGGGGCTGCCCGAGCTCCCCGCTCCGCACTCGAGCAGCGCCGGGGGTTTTAGGGCCGGGCTGGGGGGGGGGGCCCGACCCCGACGGCTGGGCTGCGGGGCTGGCGAGGAGGGGTCCCCGCGGGGAGCAGCCCGGAGCCGGGCTGTGGGGGAAGCTCCGCAAAAAAAGAAAAAAAAAACAAAAAAACAACCCTGGCGGCTCTCCAGCCGGCCCGAGCCGGGGGCTGTTTAGCCGCTTAATTGTCAGAATTAACCTCCCGGCCCCCCCTCCCCTTTCCCCAGCCCACCAAGCGCAGGGAGCACAAGCCGCTGCTCGGGCGCCGGGGCTCGGATTTGTCTTTGCTTCAGTTGCGCTGGGGCGCGGGTGTAAAGGAGGAGCGATGAGATCGGGGCGGATTTGCATGTCGGAAGGGCCCCCCGAAAAGCTGCGCGGGGAGCGGCGAGCGCCTTGGGCGGCTTCGAGGAGGGCTGTAGGGCAGCAGAGCTTGTAAATGGATTAACCCGAATTTGGAGCTTGCTCTTTAGCTTTCCAAACAGAGTAATAACGTGCGCGTCTACCTGTAAAAAAAAAAACACACACTTCGGTATGAAAGCAGCGTTTTTACAAAGAGACTGTCTGAACAAATCGATTCTCCCTTCTTTTTTTAAAAAACGTTGCTGTAGCTTTCTCTTCTGCTCCTGTCAGAATCTTTTTGCCTTGTAATGCATTTCTTTTAAATAGTGGGGACGTTTTTAAACCCTTTTATCCTCAAGATGTGTTGTTTTCCTAAATCTGTTTTGCTAGTAAAAAAAAAAAAAAGTTAAATTTTATTTAATCTAAGAAAAGGAAAACAATACGCTTCTTTCTTTTTTTTTTCCTTTATTTTTTTTTCTCTCTCTCTTTTTTTTTTTTTTTCTTTTTTCACTGATAGAAAGTAAATCACTGTATTTTCAAACCCAGTTGTCTGCAGGGGAAAAAAACTCCTGGCTTCTACTTGGGTTTCTTTTTCTACAGCAAAACATAAAGCTCCAAGGGCTAAGTTTGTTTTAGAAAACTCTCTTTGATGGTCCCAAAACATCTTTTCCTGCTATTGAAGACTGTCTTTCAACAGAGAGGGGAAAAAAAGGAGGGGGGGGGGACTTGGATGAATTTTACTGGACAATCCACTATGCATCTGAACTCTGTTAAACCATACACTTCCAAACAGAGTCCATTCTCTGTAGGAATTAAAACAGCAGCAATAAACCCTTTTCCACAGCAAGCCTTGGAAAGTGTTTGCTGCCGTTCCTTGTTTTTCAGGCACGGATAGGTTAGTTTGTCTTAAAAGTAACAAAATATTTCTAATATGTGAACTCTCTTTAGTTCTTTTGGAGCTTGGGTCTTTCACTGCAGACCGTATGAGAGAGACCATCAATAAATATTATCTTTAAATAGCTTTCCTATCATTACGGAAATGCAAAAGCCTCTGTTCATAATCCTGTTGAAAACAGATCCCTGAACTCATGTAGAGCAATGGATTCAAAATAATTTTCTTAACAAAGGCATCTTGCATATGAAGAGTTCATCCTAAGGCACTGTTTGACCTCTTGGTCTCTCATTATTATCAAGTCATCAGAGGGTCTTTGGAGAGAAAGGGGAAAAGAAACCCCGAGATACAGTTTATTTGTAAAACATACCATGTAGCTTTAAAGCACGTTCACAATGAAAAAAAAATCTGTCTGATTTCAGGAAGTCTTACAAAAACAAAGTTAGTACAAATTACAGATTTTGGGTAAAGTGTAAGGGAGTTGAGAAGCGAGGATCTGAAAACAAAAGCTCTCTGAACTTGTATTAGAAAGCAGGGAGCGAAGGGATGTTTTAAACAAACATGTTTGCTTACATATTAGTTTAGTGAATATAATTTCTTTAGGCATGTCTATAATTGCTTGTGAAAAATAGGGCATTGTCATGTCAAAACTGTGACATGTGCCAGTCCATATTTCTGAGGAGCCAGAGGCTAAAATCCCCTCCTGTCTTCTTTCTTTATTTTTTCTAAATTCTTGATTTTTTAAAAGTGAAATTATTTCAGAGTGCTGATCGCTTCGGTTAGTGAATGCTTATTAGGAAGCGAAGTACAACACATGACAGAAGCTCACCCAAATGTTGAATGTATCATTTATATTTTACGACAGTGAATTATATAGAAGAATCTCAACTAACTTTCAAATCATCAAACTGTAATTAAATATTGCAAAGACTGTCTGAAAATTCTTTAATTTTTAATGAAAGTTAAATATATATTGTCAGCCTACTTGAAGGTGTAGTATTTTAGTGCATGACGCTCAGAACAAATTGGATAATGAAATGATTACTTTTAAATGAAACTGTTGCAGAAGCATACATGTTTCAGCTGGCAAGTAGCTTCTCAATACTCACACACGCATGTTCACACACTCAATAATTGTGAATTCCCAGACTGAAATTACAGCTACTCTGAGGTTTCTGGTGGCAAATTAAAAATCCCACAGAAGCAAAGCTTGAATGAGTTAGGTTCCCTAGATCATACAGGAAAGTATCTGTGGCTCTTTCCTTATAGTATGCATATATATATATATGTATATATGTCCATACATATATATATGTATGGACAAATCAGATTTAACTGTATTCTCTTTGTCTCACAATTATAAATTACAAAGTTCTGCACAGCTGCAGATTATTAAGTTAGGTAAGATAAAATACAATTTATTCTACAAATCAGACCTAGCTTTCTGTATGTTGGACCACTTGTAGATTTAACTTAAATGTCCCATTAAGCAGCATGCATTATATCAGCAGGTAGACAGACAGGGCTTCATGTGCTGAATGCTGTGAATGCTGTGTGTGTAATAAATAGCAGATATTCCTTGTTCTGTGGTGCTTGATCTGAATTAGTCAGGGTTTATCATTGTTCGTGTGACTATGCCTGACTATGGAACTAGTCCACGAGCCTTGCCATAGGTGTAGCACGGGGAGGGCCGTGTGCTGTTGCGTGTGTACGTTTTCTCCCGGCTGCGATGCACTATGGGAAGCGGGGCTGGGTAGTGGCGTTACTGAACTAACCACAAATTTTGTCACCGACAACATCCCAGGGCAGGTCTAGGGTGTATGTATTAACTATGCATGCGCTCGCTCAAAACACGAGCTTTTGTTGCACGCACGCTCCTTGGTGGTCTGGGCTGTGGGACTTCTGAATGGGAAACTCAGTCAGGACTGGGCTCAAAATGCATCGTTTCCAGTTATACCCAGGGTAATGTGCTTGGCCTTTGGTGGTGGCCCCAGAGAAGTGCAGGGTACGATGGTAATTGCCTGCCTTTGAGGAGTCTTGCTCCGACTCTAAAATGCGTGCCTGTCATTTTAAAATTGTAAATACTGCGCATAAATCGTTTATGTTGGGGGAAGTTCTTTTCAGTTAGGGTAACAACACTCAGCGTCAATGCTGTCTTAATTAAATTTTCTTTTATGTTATCTTGGCACCTCATTTTACGTCGGGTTCACATTCCTAATGTGTTCAAAACCCCGTAGGATCCCAAACTTTATAGCTGTTGCTATCTGTAAACCGGCAGCTTCTACTGCAGTAGGTCTGGCGTTAACAGTGATGCATTTTGAAATTGTCTGCAAAATGTGAAATATGTCTGCTCAAATAAAAGCAGAGTTTTTAAGGCAAGTCTGAGGATTTTAATGTATTTACAGAGAAGAGATGCCTTCCACTTCTTCAGCTGTATTTTCATAAAGTTGAGATATTTCACTATTAGGAAAGATGGAGGAAATAAATCTGAAATACTTGTTCCCCACCCATTTTTCCTTCAGCCTTTCTCATTCATAAGATATAACGGATGGTAATATAGCTCAGGCATCTTAAAAATCATAAGTTTTGCAAGATAGCTATTGTCTATTGTTGAGAACCCTCATGAGTGAAAAATCCTTCCTTCAGACTTGAGCTCTGTTTACTGTTTTGCTTTTTTTCAGTACTGTAACTCTGGATGCAAATGGTTTTTCTGTTGCTTTCTCTATGATATTCTCTGATGTATGCAGATATTTGATCAGCTCTCTATTCTGTGCATAGCCTGGCCCTTCTCTGGCAGCTACACGCATGGGAAAAAAATGTTATCAATAAGTTCAGAGGAGCCTCAGCAGACTCAGAGAAATTTCACACAAACATAAAACAAAACCTAACCCCTGTGACGGGGAAAGTTTACATTGCGCCAGATTTTAGCAGCTTTCTTGTTCCTTTGGTGAGATGTCAGAAGCGCAGGTGATTTTAATTTTCTTGTACAGAGAGGAACGGAGAAGTTTGGAATTTGCATGCATGATCAGGACCTGTGTTTGGGAAAATGTAAACTCATCACAGTGGAAAATGTGTTGTTTGGAGTCTGAGGGTGAAAACAAAGCTGAGGATTTTGGAGAGACTGCCTGAGCCAGATGGCCTGGTGCATTCCCAGTCTGGCAGCCCAACTGCTCCCTCCTGTATAATATACAGCCATTTGTTCTGGGATATTTACGCTAGAGCTGTTTCCATGTGAATGTTTGAAAACCATTAAAAATGAACATATTAGGAGAGATAAATTTATTTAATTTGTGTGAATACGTCGATAAGCAGGCTGTGTATCAAAGGCAGGGGGAGACTGGATAAAATAATTAGATGCTACTGAATTGTGCGCTGAGACGCAGCACGAACTAAACGTCCTCTCCTGGGGACCCAGTGCTGTGCTGCTTGTCCGGCATAAACCAGACTGGGAAGGGTAGAAATTCTGCCTGGGCGAGGAGTGAAAAACTTGGGTAATTAGGGGTTAAGCACTCGAAGCCAAATAAATGCAATGCACTGAATTTGCAGCGTTCTCTGTGTAGATATATAGCGGATACAAGCCTAATCCTCACTGGGTGAAATCCTGGCCCATCTGAAGTCAATTGCAAAACTCCTATTGAATTCGGTGGGGCCAGGATTTTATTTTCTCTCTGTGTGTATGTCTGTATACGTCACTGCAAATCATTTTAGTTCTGTTTTGAAAAGACCCTCATTCTAATGAGTTTTTTTTTTTTCCCTCCTTTATTTCAGTAAAGGAGATAGTTTGTTTTGCGAAACAGATGAGGAATTTGAAAGCGAGTGGATTTAGATGCACGCTGGTGATTTCTCTCATTCTGTCCCTCTTTTAAAATCAAGGCTGTGACATAACTGAATACTATAACGGCCATGAGCTCAGTCCTTCAAGCTTGTTTCTCATCCAGCTCAGAGAGCAGGATTGCCTGACTGGCAACTTGATGCTACGAGGCGATTCTGCCCGCAGTTGCACCAGCATAAATCTGGATTTATTCAGGAATAGCTAAGGATGGAATCTGCCTTTAAATCTTTCCAACTTACTTGTCAACTATTTTACTGCTTTATTCTGCCGTCTTTACTCGTGAAAAACTGGTTTAAATGAGAACTGTAGTCTTGGCTTTTATATTACCTCCCTCCCCTTTATTTTATTTTTTATGAACTCTCACTGAAAACTTTTTCAAATTGTTGGATGCACTTGTCTAGAAATGACTGGGATGTGCTCAATTTAGTAATTTTTATGTGTTGGCAAGTAGTGAATTGCATTTGATTTAACTTTTTTATGCAGCTTTATTTAAATGGAAGCGAGGAGTCTTACATTTCTACGTTAGTTTTTCGGGGCCTGATTTTGAAATTCATTTGTGCATGAGCGATTGTTACTCACTGGGGCTTCTTGTAGAAAGGTTACTTATGTGAGTAATGGTTTACAAATGTAAGCTGAGTTTTGCGGGGAAATATTTAAGTTCAGGAGAATAAAATCTATTTGAAAATGCTTACGAGATGCACCGAGTCAAAACTACAAGAAGTAAACAAAAAGGAAAAACAAAGTCTATAATTTTCATTTCCTTTGCTGGTGTTTTGTTGTGCAACTCTGATGTGTATTTGAAGGCTTATTTTTAGCTCTGCTGTGGTCTAAGTTTATACACTGTAACTTTCACTTTATCTCTTATTAATGTGATCCCTATTTGACAAAATTGTGATGATGTTCGTGCGGCGGGGACTCCTGCCACAGTCAGCCTGTGTCAAAGCCTGAACGTTAATTAAAAAAAATAAAAAAAAAAAATCAGAAGGCTTTGTTAAAAGAGTCTCTTTTCAAATCTTAAAGTTAAATATTTTCACAACGGTAACATCGTAGACCCTTCCTGTAAAAATACTTCTGGCAGCTATAAAGATGTGAAACTTTAGCAGTTCCTGTTTCCCTTTTGCAACTAATTGTAGAATTGGTGTTTTAGAGCAGCACCGTTTGAGGGTCTGTAACGCTCTCAGGGAGTCACTCATGGGAGTAAACAGCTGGTGCTTTGCACACCCGTTTGCACAAGTATATTAGGAAATAGGAATGGGAGTTGGGGATGTAAAGTGAACTGGGCAATTCCTCCTGCTTCCTAAAATTCCCTAGAAATTCCTGGTGGAATAGGCTGTATGGAAGGACCTGCACTTAACAGTGAGAAACCGCGGTGTGCATCGGTGCAATATTAGTAGTCAAATGCAAACAAAGTGAAAAGCAAATCCTTAACGTAGACGAAGGCTGAAGAATGTCATGCACGCAAAGAAGGGATCACTGACGTTAAACACAACAGACAAGGTGATTATGTACCACAGTGTTGACTCTGTCCGTTCATTATTGCTATTTAGTTGAGTTATTTAAGCGGGTACCTGGAGGTTAAGTAAGCATAGCAGCAGGAAGAGAAGGGGAAGAGAGAGAGAGGAGGGGAGAAAAGAAAGGTTTTGTGTTCAGCTTGGTCATTTCTACTGCTGCCTTGAATTCAGTGGCAACAAGGTAACCCAGGCCGGGCAAATTTATTTTAAGGTTTGAAAGTCTAAGAAGGGGGAGCCAAGCCCAGCAGTCCTCTCTCGGGCACCATGTCATGCTGTGCCAGGTGAGGGGGGACCGGAGGTGTTTGTCTCCACTGACAGCCTCAGGAGCCTTAATGTAAGATCTGCTCTGCACTCTCAGAAGCAGATTATTTTTTGATTATTTGCTGATTAGGTCCAACAAGAGCCCTGAGCTTTGCCCGTACCTGGCCGGTCCCACTGCCAGGTACAACCTAGGTCTGGGGTTTTCTGGAGTCTTTGCAGTGTCCCTGCTGATCCTGCTGTTGTCAGCTGGTTCCTTTGGTTCCCTGGTTTTGGCTAGAATCTTCATCCCGTCTTCTGTAATGCACGGGAATGAGGATCTTCTGAATTTGTCCCAGCTCCTGATGTACACCCCCATGCACGTCTGTACGGGCATCTTCCAAACCAGCTGTGGCCCCTGGGCCACCACCGGGAAAGCATCCCTATGTGCTGCATCCAGCAGCTGCCGGGGAAGAGAGGTCCCAGCCTGGGTCAGGGCTTTGCTGGTGGCTGTGCTGTGAGGGCTTTGCATGTATCCCACAGCCACGTTTGTGTCTCCTGCATGTGCTGGGCTCACAGCCTGTGTCCCTCTCCGGTGGGACTGAGGGGCAGAAGCTGGCGATGCTCTGTACCTGGTGCAATGGCACAGGAGGTCTCTGTTCCATCTCCTCAGCAGCAAAATTATACTGGCTTCCAGGTTGTGGGGAAATGCACGCAGCAAAACTGAAAGGGAATGATTTAAATTAGCAGAGACAACACAGAGCCATTCCTGATATTGTTTATAGAATTGCTAAATCATTTTATAATGCATAATATTAAGATTGAGTACTACTAATATAATGATGTTAAAAAATCAGCTCATGCCTCTTCAGATTTGCTGTGTCCTGGGAGTCCTGCCTCCGTTGTAGGTATGACACCTCTTACCTTTAACGGGTTATATTTGCAAGGACTGGGAAAGCAGTTCACATGATCTCACTCCATCATGTATCAAGATACTAATGAGAAAAAAACAAGGTATTTTCCACACTTCCTTATCAGAACTGGTCTCATTCCATAAAATATATTTCCTCCATATAACCTACTATTTTTTTTTTTTAACTTTCAAAAACTAATTTAATGTTAGCTTTAGGGATACGCATATCAGATGTCATTTTACCTGCGGGTTTGTTTTCCTGATTTATTCCTAAGTCTGTATTTTAGAGGCTGGCAGGGTCCCACCACGTGTTGAGGGCAGAGCTGATGCTGGGAAGCAGGCTTGTTGATCTGATCCCGGCTGTGCACTGCCACCCTGAACGATTCAGGAACCTCAGTGCCATCAAAAGTTGCCGTTGCAAAGGCAATTTCTTTTCTGTCTTGATTTGCTGCTGGGGGCAATGGGACAACCCGGAGCAGATACTGCCCAGCTGCTGGTATTTTGGGGGTGAATCAGCAGTGACAAGCCAGGGCTGTGTGTGTGTGGGGGCAGAAAGCAAAACTCTGTCCCGATCCGATGGAAACTCTCTAGAGTGAGCGGTAACTCTGCTGGTATGTGACGCCGATCCCTCGCCGTCGCTCCCGGTCCTGCTGGTGGGAGGGCTGCAAAAATCGACTCTTCTTGAAAGGCGAATGCCCCGTCTTTCCACAGTTTTAACTCAAAGAGTTCTCCCCGTGCTATCTCAGAGTCAAATTTCCCAGGCTGGTTTATCCTCTGTTTGTTTTGGTATCCTCTGGCAGGGCCTGCTTCTCCCTTATTTATATTCCTGCAGCTCCAGAGCTGCTCTCCGGATCGCGAGCTTCGGGGGCAGAATCAGGCCCAAACACTTCCAGGAGCTACCAGGAAAGCGCCTGGGCTGCGCAGTGTGCAGCTTTTGGAATTAAAAATGCATGAGCTCTCTCTTTCTGTCCTTTTTTTTTTCTTTTTTTTTTTTTTAAATGAATAGGACCCAAAGTATGCCAAGCCTTGCTGTTGTTTCTTTTTTTTTTTCTTTTTTTTTTTTTTTCTCTTTCTTTTAATGCTATTAGGTTTATATTTTATTCTGAATTGAAAAGAAAATTGTGGTTGTCTTGACTACTAAAAAAACCCATCCTACACACAGCTTGAGAGATGTGCAGCGGCGAGGAGGGAATTTAGCTGTACTCAGCTTGTGTTGTTTTCCAACCACAAATCTTAAGCAGGTTCAGCGGTGACGCCGTCTCCCTACCCCGCGACTTAGCTTGCAACGCCGGCTGCGCGCTCAGTTACTGCGATGCCTTTTTTGTTTTCTCCAAACTCCACTTGATGCATAGCTAAAAATGTGTTTTGTTTCTAGGCGATAGTGTATGAAGGCCAAGACAAGAACCCAGAAATGTGCCGAGTTCTGCTCACGCATGAAATAATGTGCAGGTAAGAGCTACCCTGCTTCCAGCTAATTAGTGATGAGAAGATGAATCTGTCTCTCAAAATCTAGGTTGAACCTGCAGCTATTTTAGGACTTAAATTTATCTTTCTTGCATTAAACAATCCCAAAATAACACAGTTCGGTGTGTGTAATTAGCAGCAAGGTCTCAGTCGTCACAGCAGTTTTCAATTTATAAAGAGTTTTCCTTAACAGCACGCTACTGGTTTGCATTTAGACTCCGTAGCCCACAAAAGGTCTCCTCACCAAAATTAAGAGTCAGTTGTAGCCTTTGCCTGTCCCCCCACAATATTCCCAAAATTATGTCCCCAGTAAAATGACAAAGCACTCATTTTTGTTTGCCTGTGGATGTGCAGGAGGACGGGAAGCCAGGAGGCTTTTGGGCTGTTGGCTGAGGCTGGGCTGCCCCTCCAGCTGCTCACCCACTGCCCATGCAGCCTGAGCCAAGCAGGCGATGCTCCCCCAGCCCAGCACTGGCTGTTTTTTGCTTTTCATCAAACTTCCCCAGGCAGATCTGGCCCTGCCCTGTGCTCTGTTCCCCTGAACGTTCCCGCCTGGGGCTGGTCGCTTAAATTCAGGACAGTCAAATATCTTCTCCCCCGGGTGCGGCGCTTCTGCCACAGGCAGCTACTTCCTTCTTCTTTCTGGCTGGTAGCGTTAGGTGAAGCCTCTTCTGCTTCCTTCCCGCTGCAGGGAAGGCAGCATCCTCTCAAAGACCCCTCCGACACCTAGTAGAGCTTGACCTTGCAGTCTCATTAAAGTTAGTGGGTGTTTTTGCATGTCTGAAAAACTCATTTGTTACATGTTATTCGATGGCAGAAAATAATTCCCTGGTGGAAGACGAGGGGTTCTTGCATAAGCTCATTGTTACAATCAGTTGTTTTAAGACTGTAAAAATGCCATTGCATGCGTTGTAACTTTTACAAAACACATTTACTAAAAAGGAGTAACTTGAGGGTAAAAACTGGTACCCACTTCTAAGAGAATAAACTTGGATGAGAGTTTCCTGGTGGGGGAGAGTCTTAGACAAAATATTCAGATGGAAACTTCTCTGCTGGTTGATTTTTTTATTATTATTTTTTTTTAGTTATGTTTCTTCATTCTTGGGGATCTGCATGTTTGGTCCTTCCCAACAGCTCCTCTCTGATAAAACCCAGCTCGAGGGCAGCTCCCTGCAATGCTGGCAGAGAGGAGGGAGCTGCTCTCCTTGCTTTGCCAGCCTGAGTGAAACCCTACGCAACACCACAACTTGCAGGACTTGAGGGATTTTAGTTTCCATATCCTATTTTTCCAAGCTGCTTCGTTCAGCAGGTTTGGCTTTTTCTGGGAAACCAGAGAGCCCGTTGAGAGCCACCCGAGAGCAGACGGGGACCTCCAAGAGGTGCTGGAGCTGCTGCTGCTGCTGGGAGCAGGGACGTTGCTTTGCTGAGGACTCCCAGCCAGTTCTCCCTTTCCAAATGGAAACCCAGTCACGCTGACAACCCATAATTGCCCTAAAATTCATTGGCCCAATTAGCACCACTTTCGCACTAGATACCTAGCTAGGAACAATTCATGGAAATATTAAAGGAGGCCCCTGACCTGATAAGGCTGAAGTGCATGCTTTGCTTTTCTCCTGTAAGAAGCCCAGTGAAACAGTGGGTGAAATTAAGCACAAGTGCCTGCGGCGTCGGGGCCTGAATGTGCTCTTAGCCTTGGGTGATGTGCTCTGTTGGCTCTTAGACCGCAAGGTTTTAAGGTAGGAATTAATCTGCCTGCAACTCTGGCTGAGCACCCAAACTTAGGAGCAGAGCCTTTGCAGCTTTACATTGTGGTCGTGCCTGGCGGAGAGGAGAGGAGAGGAGCATCCATCCCTCCCTGCAGCAGCCCCACGGGCCTCCCTGCCAGCACCGGGATGCTCTCACAGAGCCCTTGTGTAGCAGGGAGACTTACCTATGTAATGCATTAATTTTATTACAAATACTTTAGAAACATCAAGAGTAATAAATAAATGGAAACTTTACATAGGAGGCTGAGTTTTAACCAGAAGAGCTACATCAAAGATTTACAGCCGTGTCAATATAGTTTGACTGAGATAAAATTATTTCCGTTCTGGGAACGTGGAAAGATGTGCTACGTCATTTGGAGCCGTCTTTCCCTTTAATAAAGCACTTTATGCTTTTTTCGTTCTCGAAATTCGCTTAATCAGGAGCTTTATTCCTCTCCTTGGGTTTGTTTACTGCCAGTCCTGGCTTTGTGTTTCATGAGCATAAGGTGGAGGGGTAGCAAAAAAAAAATAAAAAAAAATCTGACCACGGTAGGCAAATGTGTGTCTGACGGGGTGGGGGAGATGTATTCAAATTTCTTACAGCTCATATTAGATATTCCCCATTTCCTCTTCTGCCTATACATTTGTAAGAGGGTGCTGTTTGTTTACCAGGCCGCTTGACCCTATTGCACAAATCTGTCATCTATTGTGCTGCTAACACTCTTTTAAATTGCAAATCTGATGCTCTTTAGGGGTCTAGAAGGGGAAAAAAATCTCTCTCCACACCATTCTGTTTCTCTTGATTTCTTGCCTGTTGTAAGTGGAAGTTGGGATGTGCTGAATTTGCACCAGGGGTGCAAATGCAGCCTCAATTATAAGCATAAAATTAGAGTCTGTTCCCCATTAATCAGCCCAGCTAATTGCTATGCACTACCATTAGCCATATGGTGTGAAAGACAGCTTGCTCTCCCTAAGATGAAATTTCTTCATTTCAGACATGAAATAGTGAGGGCTCTGTATTTTAAAATAGCTTGTTTTAGATATTTAATTTCTAAACAACTTTCAGCAGTGCTTTCTATCAAGGCTAACTGCACAATAAAACTTTGCATTTATGTGACAAAGCTGGGTATTTATAGTATACTCCAACTATGGCACGGATAAGACAAAGAATTCAAATGTACAGGAGCGTCCTGGCTGCGGTAGGGAAGCGGGGCTGAGGTTTGCTTCAGGTGGCTGTTTATTTCAAAGGCTTTCATTGTATTTTGTCAAATATAAAATCTATGCTGTTGGCAAAAATGCTAATAGCTGGGGAGAATTCACAGCCTTGGTGGAATTTATTAGTATTGTAGGAGCATGGGGAGGGACATCTATAGTTAATATTGCCTCAACAATTTCCATTATGAAACCTTCAGTGGCTTACAGCTTTGCCAAACTTAAACTGTTCTGGCTGAAATGTCCTTTGCAGGGTGTCAGCCCGAGGCTGACTTTCTTTGGAAAGTTTCAGCTAAAATGGTTCAGTGATTTCTGAGAATGAGGTCGGAGTAAAATATGGTTTTTGTCTTTGCAAAATAAAATCTTAACAGCTGTTTTGTCGAGAACCTCCCGCACCTCTGCGCTCGGGAGCGAGGAGCCCATTTGGGGCAGGGGCCGCATGGCTGTGGGCTGCAGCCCGCCTCGCCGGGAGCTGCTGCAAGATGTCCCACGCGGACTCGCTAACGACTTGTTAGAGCCTGGCAGCTAAATGATCGGAAAGTCGCATTTGCGCTGGCCACGTGCCATCGCCCCGTAATTTCTCATTGTTCATTGTCCCCGCAGAAAGCCCGAGTGCACAGATACACAAAGCAGGGCTCCTCTGGGCAGCGATGCTCCTGGCTGCTGTGCCGGCTTGGGGATGGGGAGGTTTTGGGGTGCAGGGTGCCAGGGTGAGGTGGAAAACTCTTGTGTGCCCATAGTGGGGACCAGGTGGCATGGAAAAGGGATGCTCCAGCATGGGGAAGGGAAAGGGAGGAAGACGATGCGGAGCAAGGCAGCAGGAGGGCAGCAGGTCCCCAGAGGGCCGGGTTACTATTGAGGACTATTTGTTTTAAAAACAAACCAAGCAGTTTTTGCAGTTTTTTATTGTGATTCAGAGTGACATGTTGCCTGAGCCCTGGCTCCCTGTCCCACCCGGGGAGGGACATTCCCGAGGGACAGTCCAGGAGCTGGCAGTTGGAGCCTCTCACTGCACCTTCAGAGCCTGTGGGGAGCTGGAGGACTTCTTGGAGACATGGAGAAACTCCTGGGAGTTTTAAGATTCCTTTGGGGAAAGCATTGAAAAGGTGCTGAACATTTAGGAACTTTTTCAAAGTGTTCAGTAAACACTAAAATCCAAAGCTTTCAAAGCAAGTTGAATGCTTATGCCATGAGAAGTGATCTAAAACTCAGGGTTTGTGCGATGCCTTGATTTTCTGCATGGAAAAACAAAGGTAGATGAAGCCTGTAATTCTGCTGGTGACGGGGAGGCTACTACTACTAATAAATTAATAAACCTCAGCTTGACTTTTTATTTTTAAAAGGCCTTTTGCTCAGGCCTATTGGAGAATCCTCTTGGGACACCCACACCAAGCGGAGAGGCCACCCCATGAGCAGCGCCGTGTCCTCCCTGCTCTCCAGGCCAGACTGTCCCCAGCGGCCACCTTGTGGCTCTGTCCCACTCAGGGCTAGAGCATCCCTGTCCCCGTCTCCTTTTGGGCCAGCACCCGGGAAGGTGCAGGGGGATGCGGGGGTCCGCCCGGCGCGGCGGGGAGCCTGGGAACCTTCGCTCGCCTGCGTTAGTGTGGCAATTTCTGTCCCTGCAGTCTGCTGGGAGAATGTCAGGACTAGCCCTGATTCGCTTCAGTCACAAGAACTGCATTGTCTTAACTTGTGCCAACTCTGTTTCTAATTACATTTTAATCATTTAAAAATGATTAGCAGTTTTTATTGCCTTGTTTGTGGGTAAATTTTCTCACCCCACACATTCTAGCTGCACTCCAATGACAAGTCCTTTTATAGGCAAAAAAGCCCCCCGAACGTCCACATGACTATTTACCTACAGCATATTTTATTCCTTCCTAAATTTTAATGCTTTCTGGGTGCCAAGGCTCTTGCATTTTTTTGGTGGATCAATTGTGGTATTGTGCTGTAAAATTAAGCAGTTTTTTTTGGCAATCCTAAACAATGTAACTTCCACCGAAATGAAGATACCGCACATGTGTTAACTGTGAAAAGTTTCAGCCCTGAATAGTTGCCTTGAAGCTTTTTGCGGTGAAAAGAATTATGTATTTTCCTCTCTTTGAAAACAATTTTTTTTCTTCTTTTGGAAACCATGTTTAAACAGTCTGTTTTTGTAAAAGCTCACCCCCCCCCTTTTTTTTTTTGTTATCTTTAGTGTGGTTAGTTGCTTTATTGCTAATCTTGGTGGGTAACTGTATATTATTCACTCTATTGTTCAGCAACACAAGAGAACCTTTGTCATACTCCCAACAGGGCTATTTATATAGCATGGCACTTCTGCGGGCTTCTTCCTGCGCTGATGTTCCTCCACCTTTTTGGGAAAAAGAAAATAGTCCACCCGAGCAGGAGGGCAAGTAGCGGGTGGCTGCTGCGGGATGCACAAAGCCGGCTGCTGACACACGGTGATGTGCAGGCCCTGGGACACCGCTTGAAATGAGCACGGTGCTTCCCAAAGGCATGTGGCACACAGCTGGGGCTCACCAGAAGTTCTGCTGAGCAGCAAAGTGTACCCACGTCTGGCCACGGAGAGCTGAGGGGGTGGCCCCATGCTCCACCACTTGGTGCCACCACGGGGTGCCGTCCCCATGCCCGGCATCTCTGTTCCTGTCCCCAAGCCCTCACCCTGCAGAAACCAGGATCTGGTGTCCAGTTCTCACAACAAAGGCTTGTCCCCAGCCATTAACATCTCTGTGCAAATGCTGAGCCACCTTTGTGAAAGTCCTAGCCTTAAGGCCAGTGATGGTGCCAGGCTTTGGCAGACAGAGCTGGTGCTTCACGTGCTGGCTTTGCACCCGACCTGCTGCAGGCACCAGCCACAGAACGGTGCTCTCCTGGCACAAACAGACACCAGCGTGCTCCAAAAACTAGGGAAATGGGCAAACTCCCACATAACAACCCAGCAGTGTTTGCATTTTAGTTCCCCCCTTAGCAGCAATATTTCTTAAAGGGAGAATAATTGTGCTTTTGGATTTCGGGGGGAGGTTTCCCGGCAGCTGAGACTTCAGCTCTGTGTAAAAGTAGGAAAACTGTGCGGCCACATAACGTAAGTGGTAAGCAAATGTAAAAGCTGTGTTCACCTTATTCTGAGTGCATATGTATATGGGACAACTGTTAAACCCCATGGATAAAAGACCACGAATAGACAGGTCTCCCTGTTTCGGATGATCCTTGAATTATTATTTGTGAAAGGGGCAAAACCCCTCTCTTTTTATATTTTCCATTGTTAACCAGCTGTGCAAGAAGTTAAACACAGTAATTAACCCATATGTGACCCGCTGCATTTGACTGATTTCCAGGCAGGGACGGAGCGGTAACTCTAGCCGGCAATTTGAACCCACCATGTTCGTAATGATGATTTTACAGTGTAATGGTCGCACTAAATCCTTTCACTTTTGCTCTGTAGCCGCTGTTGTGACAAGAAAAGCTGTGGCAACAGAAATGAGACTCCATCAGATCCAGTGATAATTGACAGGTAAGGACTGCTATTGTTTCCTTCGATTTGCTTTTTTTTTTTTTTCTTCTTTTCCTCCTCATTATAATGAAACACCTGCCCTGTGTTGCTAATGGGGAAGAATTAGGAGTATATATGGAGGAAATTTTGTTTTTGATACCAAATTAGTTGTGCTTTGCAATTGCGATTGCCATGGAAGGGCCATATGGAGGCTAACGGAGCGACCTGCTCGTTGGAGGGCTCCAGTGCTTGCAACTGATTCATGTGCATAAAGAAGAGATTTTTCTTTCTGACTTTCTGTGGCTCAATTCACATGCTGTGCCAGGGAAGCTTCAGGAATAAAATAATAATAGTTTGTGATTTATGAAATGTGGTTGGGTGCTTATAAATATTTAACTTTTATTTGAAAAATGTTTGAATCATTATCACTTTTAGCTACAGTAGTTCTGTTGGGTGCAATCCATCTACATTTTAAGGTTTTTATTTATGCATAAAAACAGTTAAAAAAATAGATCTGCAAACTAAGGGTTTTTTCTCCTGTGATTTTCTTTGGTTGGAATACTATTTTGACTGTATTGTCAGTTGATTAATTCGTTTTTGCCCATCTTAATTATTGTGTTTTTAAACAGATCCATATTGCTAATCTGACATCACCGAGTAAATCACTGTAGCACAATACATCTATTTTAGTTGTTCTGAGCCATGTGCAGTTTCTGTGCTTGCAAATTATGCAAAATGGTACCAAATAGTCATTTTTACATTTTAATTGTCAAAAATCATTGTACGAAGCCGTGCGCAATAACCAGGTTATTATGCAGCATTACTCTATAAGAGTTAAATGGCCATGAAGTACTGAATCTGTCTGTCATCAGCTGGGGAAAGCAATACCACTGCGCTAATCTGCGCGTACAGGGACCCTGAAGGGAAACTATCTATGCATACAGGAGCGGGAGTATGGAGTGGCGTGCTTCTCCTGGTGTTATTGTCTGAGTTAATGTTTGCTATATGAGGTTCAAAGCGCCTTCCAGTGCCAGCAGTGCGTGGTTTTATGACAAAAGGTGAAAGGGTTCGGTGTGCGGAGTGCCAGGCAGGGAGGAGGGGGGTGGCAGAGCCTGGCCGGGCACTGCGCTGCTGCAGGCTGCCAGATTGATAGCTCTGGGTTGAATTTGTTAAGAAAGTGCATACATTGGAAGCTTATCGCAGGTGTTTTGATTAGCTATAATCAGTAATCCCGAGAATGTTTAAATCTCAGAAGATGTATCTACCTATTTTAACTAGGCGTATTTTCATCTTCTGTGAGCATTAGGTAGCACCAGGGAAAGCAGGGGAAAAAAAAACCCACTGTGAAATCTGTATAGAGATGTGTTTTATAAGCATGCTGCAGACCTGAACACTATAAACATGGTGTTAGAGTGGCATTTTGAGCGACATGAAAGCTACAAAATTCACATGAATTTTTCATTGTACTGGAAAGTGAGATGTTAAGATGCTAATGGCAGGTTTACGGAAATATTTTGTTTAACTATCTAGTATGCAAAACTGCTAGTTGCAAATCATTTAAAATTATGAAAGCCAGAGATGCTGTCTGTTACATGCTTATAAACAGAGGGAAACTCTTACATGAAAAATCAGACTTAGCTTCCTAGCAGTGATCAATTCATCAGTATTTACATAATCGATGCAAAAGATTCAAATTCTGAAGATTATATTTAAAACACAACTAAACATGATTTAAGGCTCATCTTACAAGCTTTACCTCACCACCTGCACTAAATCACATTTGGCTGGTGAATGGGTTAAGCTTTTAAGTTCTTCACTTGGTTTTAAATGGTGACTTTGATACAGAAGGTTGATATGACTGTGGTTTGAATAACATTTGATTTTGACCTGTTCCTGTGGGTTGCAGTGGTATAAGAAATTTGACTCAGCAGTACTGTAATTAGCCCTCCCCGTGTTTTTGAAACAGGATTGTGTTACCTGGATTGCATTAGTGTGGCTTCTATTGTTGCCGCTTCGCATCTGTCCCAGTAGGGTACTTAAAACCTTTTCTTGGCCAGGGCTAGTTCAAACAATTTAGGCCAAATAAGTATGTGCTTTATACAGTTAGTGGCTTTAGTGATGCTTCTTGTGACATTTATCCTATTCATTTTTTTCCTCCCTTTTGGTTTGGAAAGGATGAAGCGATCTATGTGGAGCCTTTTTACCTTAAAATGAGCCTGTTAAAATTGTTCTAACACTGAAACGCCTGCACAAGTCAGCACATGTGTTTAGTTGTACTCTATTGTCACTTCTGCATGCACACAATTTTAAACTATTATGTCAATTGATATGCAAAACCATATTTAGCTATTTTTATTTGCATGTGAGCTTACAGAATTCATTTACCATTTGGGCTAAAGCACTCCCACATGCCTTACAGTCTGATAAAGCCTCGCCTATGGATTTAATCTAACTCTTGCATCAAATCCTACGAATCCACAGAGTCTGACCTAACATAGAATTTACAATAAAATCTATCTACGGGATTTTTGACATATGTACTTACATGGAAATGCTATCCTCTTCTTACATGCTGGAATACTATTCTGGATTGATTAATTCTCTTTGATGAGGCTAGAGAAACTTGGGATAGAGGGAACTCAGTCTTTGTGGTGGTTTAGTTAACTTGGCGAAGAGGCTCTCTGGCAACTTCAAAGTTACATGTGTTGTGTTCTTTTTCAAACCCTAGATGTATATGAAAAGTAAATCGCATATTTTTATTTAATCAAAATGTGGGATTTAAAAAAAAAATCTGTAGTTGCGTTTGAAACAGGATATGACTTTATCCTTTGTAAAATTGCTTTATAGTTTGCCCCATTATAGTATCAGCGGATATAGCAGTGAAAGGGACCTAAAGAAATTTATACTCATAGAGCGATCTAAATTTTCTCTGGAGAACAAAATAAATCTCTTATGCTTATAGAGAGCAGTCATTTCAAGGAAGTTTCTTGGAAACCTGTGTGTGTCTGAATCATCTCCTTAGCATAGCCTGTATATTTTATCACTAATCCAGTTACATGTGTTCAGATGAAGCTCTGATGAACAGGAACTCATTTTAAAAGGGGTATTATTGTCACAATACAAATGCACAATTCCTCCTACAAGTACAGTAGCAGGGCTGTATTGTAATCATACTTAAAGAAAACACAGAGCACTTCCTGTTATTAAATTAAATTCTAGATTGATTTAACATTCAAATTGTAACTCATATTTGAATTTAAAAGGTTTGCAATAAAATTCCTGTGAAGAAATTGAATAAATTGTAGTTTTATTACCACTCTGGATATCCTGGTGTCCTAACCTTTTTCCTTATAGTTATCTTAGTTCAATAAATAAAACCTCATTAGACTATTCCCATTTCAACGAGTTTATTAAATTTTACAGGAGTAATTAGCATAAGCTGTGCTAATTTTTCTGGAAGACTAATGAGAGAGCTTCCTAATTAGGTTTGCTTTGTAAGAATCAGAAAAGATGATAATGACAAAAGTCACATAGGGGAGAAAGTGGGGCTTTAGATTATTCCTTGGTTCAGGAAAGAGGCTCCTCTCTCACCGTTCTGCTCCAAACTCTTAAACCCAATTTACCACTGTGGGGACCAGTATTTAGTGGTGTTACCCATGCCTGTGGGGGATTCCTTACCTTTTATGGCTGGATCCAGTAAAACAGGAGCCCTATTGACAGATAAAATAGAAATGAGCACCGCAATCCCAAATATAGTGGCGGAAAAGGCTCTGCACTGAGGATCATGCTTTGCCTCCCGACCCTGCACGCCAGGGTGCGATGCTGCAGGGACAAGGGGCTGTGAACAGCCTGTGTGGCAACTGCTGCTCCATCCCAAATCTTGCTTCTTCCCACTGTACGTCAGCAGGCTGATGCTGTGACCTGAAATCGACTTTGCTGAGATTTGCTGATGAGACCTACTTCAGGAATTTCTTGCTTGGAGAGACTTCCTCGGGCTGGGGTGCAGGATGCTGAGCTTTGTGCAGGAGCTGCCCAGGGGCTCTGTGCCCAGCACGGGAAGGACAAGGGGCTCTCCTGTCCCTGGTCTAGCCAAGGCATTGAAGCTCTTCATATGCCAATTCAAGTGCTGCTTCTGAGGAATAAGGCTCCCTCTGGCTTTGCAGAAGTGGCTGATGCATTTCCAATGTGATCAGAGCTCTTGTCAGTGGAGCAGGGGTGGGAACTTACAGACTGCAGGCTGTGATATTCTTTCTGCTTTATTATCAGATGACACAGAGGGGTTTTAATGCACGGCCTGCTGCTGCACGTGTTGGAAGGCCTGTGCACTTTCGACACCTGCTGTACAGGATGCTCGGCCGGGCCGCCTGTGATCCCTCCCCAGCACATCCACCCGCTGCGGCTACAGAGGGAGCTGGCATTCCTACAGATGTTTCTGAGATCTTTCAGGCCTTAACCTGACAAATTTTATGTTTGTGGGTAGGATTTCATTGTGCAATGGCATGAAAAGAGGCGTGAATGACTTTCAATGTCTCCGTTTTACTGCTTTACAAGTCATCGCGCAGTGGATTGTATTTTACGGGCCCGATCATCTTTTCATCCTAAATAGCAGGCAGGTGGAAAAGTGACATGCAGGGCTGCATCGCCCTCTCTGCATCCTCCCCCTGAAGGCACTTGTTGGGCGGATGTGGCAATCACTGCCTCCTGCAGCAGCTTTCTGTGCTGAACCCAGCTGTGGTGGGGTGGGGGCAGGTGCTGGTGTCCCGCTCCCCTCCTGGGGACCGTGCTGCAGGAGGCTGGGGGCTGCATCCCACCTCAATCCCTGGGCACTGTGTGAGGCTTTGTCTCAGAGCTGTGCTGGTGAAACCCTCTGGGCCCCTACAGAGGACGGGCAGAATTTGGCCTGCAGCATTTCGCGCGAGCTCCCGGAGCCTGTGAACCCGTACATTGCTGAGAGGGGAGGGACGCCAGCAAACATCCTCGAGGACTTGGTTATGATTGACGCATCTGAAAAGCATTACCCT